TTTCCGATAAACCAACTTTGAGTATGCAAATGCCTCCAAGTTGATTAAATCAACATTTCTTTGTTCGTTAGATAATTTAATTAATAAACTCATGAATATCATATTAGAATTTTAATTACTTATATAATTAATTAGCAAATAGATGTCTGAAATAAATTTTTAATTTCTTATTTTTTATTTAAAATAATAATAAAAATTATTTAAAAAAAATAGTTTAATTTTTAGTAAAATACAATTTTAATAAATAATATTAGTATTTTTCATTGACGTATTTCTTGATATTCGCTCTTTTTTTACTAAAATTTCAGTATTATCTTTTTTTTTTGTCTTCTTTATTTTTTTATTCTTTTTTAACATTTTAACTAGTGTTCAAAATAAATTCATAAGCTAAGAAGCTAAAATATCTCCTCGTTTAAAAGGAAATTATTTGTTTTTCAATTACCGCAGCAATTATAAATGAAAGAAGCAAAAGCTTGATTCACATAATCTGGAACATACAGTAGATGAACATGAGCATATATATATATATATATATATGTGTGTGTGTGTGTGTGTATGCGCCTTACTGAGTAGATTCTTAAAGAGGGTATAAAATCAATCTTTTCTAGCTAGCAAGTAGATGCATACACATATAGTAGATATTGATTTGAAGCTACATATATCATTGTGAGCTGGTCACTATCCATAGATTCCATATGTATCCAACCCTAGTTATTGTGAGGAGACAAGGCTGTGTAAACAAGACGATTAAAGAAAACATAATGAACAAAACTTTCTGAAAATGTACCCCAAAATGGTTCTCAATTTCTGTTGGAATTATGCTTATTGATTTCAAAAGATGAATGATCCTTCTAATACAACACAACAAATGGACTTATGACTGATCCGTTATTTATTTATTTTTTATCAGTAAATATATCGTGAGAAAATTTCGAAATGAAATTACGTAAATTTATTTATAAAATTATAATATAAACTGAATAATTGTATAATCGTATAACACAAAAATAAAAATAATATAATAAAGTTTCACGTGCATTAGAGATTAGGAATCTCAATTCTGACATTAGAGTTACTACTCATGAGTATATGTTATATATATATATATATATATATATACATATATATTGTGGAAGCTAGCTTCACTTTCTTCCTTGGGAATTACTAAAGACTGATATTGTAGTTAATTTTTCTTAATAGAGAGTATGCAATGTTGTGTTGCAGTAAGATATACAAATTAAAACATATTATTATAAAATATTAAAAATTAAATGATAATAAATATCAAATTTCAAATTTACCCAAAAATTTCATGAAAACCCCGTTACCCCATCCAATATTTGCAATAGTTAAGTAATATAAATGTATAAACCAATTAACTTTTTTTATATCTGCGCTCAAGATGAGCACTCTAATTATTATTAAAGCATTTACACTTCTTTGGTTTTTAAAAAGATTTCTTTAGTTTTTATTTTTTAGAATTCACAAGTTTCTTGAGAAATGGATACAATTTTTAAAAAATTAAATCATAATCATGTAAATAAATAAGGCTATTAAGTTTTAAAATAGTGATACTTATTTCTTATTAGTTTGAATTTTTAAGATACTCATTTAATACTTGATTATATAAGATTTGTTGAATTTTAAATTTTTTGTCTTTATCAAGAATTAATTTTTATAAGATTTGATCAGTTTATATTCGATTTATACTTTCAACCAGATGAATTTACATGTGACCGTACATGTTGAAATATAAATAATTGATTAAATTCTTTATTATCAAGTTAAATTTTTAAGATAATCGGTTCAAATTATTAATTATAATTTCTTATTTAACAATTATAGTATGAATATTAAATTTTTTTTAAAAAAATCTTTAATAAACATATTTCATCGATGATTTAAATTTATAATAGTAAAAAAAATAATCTTTAAATTAAAAACTTAATACAAACTCGATCCATTATTCAAAAGTGTGAATATTGGTGTTTAGGTTTTCAAATCACAAAATCTTTAAGTAAAGTAATAAATATGTATGTTTAGATGCAAAGACAAACAATGTATGTGGATGTTAAAATCAACTTTAGGAAAACAGCTCATAGTAGAGAAGGGCAGGCACATTTTTAGCAGAATATGCTAATCTAATCCTTGTCTATAAAAGATTTTCCAACATTCTAAGATCAAGTATGGGTTATGGGCTTATATATATATATATATATGGCCATGAGACATTACATTCAACTCGTTAAACTATTGCCAAGGCTTGTTTTTTTTTTTTTTCATTTGAATTTTCTTGAAAGAGAACTTTTTTGGGTTCTTCCAATTCTAAATCCAACAGTTATAAACAGGGATATTTCATGCTATTAACATTGAATTTAATCTGAAATTATAGAGTAGAATTTTGCCATACCCCTACAAAGACAAGTTGAAGAAAGAGACATTAGATCTTTTCTGGCAAAAAAAAAAATTTAGCATTTTAAAAAGTGAATTCCTCACTACACTTATTCTCACACTTTTGACTATATTTAGAAAAATTCTTGCCCACCACTGTTATAAACATACTAATTCAATTACTTCCCTTGCAATTCACTTCTTTATTCCTTCCTAAACCTCATAACACAAAATTCCTAAGCAATTTATATCATAAGCTAACAATACATACATAACTAGCTACCCTTGAATATATAAATATATATATATATCAACAAGAGGTGTATTAATCATTATCTCCTTCTCATTCATCACTAAGTAAACAAATATATAATGATTATCTTCCTAAAATTCAGCTTTTAAAACATACTGAAACAGAATAATGTGAACCTCTTTTGTTCTGATAGACTGAGTTATGAAAACTAAAGGCAAAGATTATAGAGGTTGATGTCAGCTTTTGCTTAAAGAACAAATACAATCAGAAGAACATTACTACAAGGAAACTAGCATTTTACCTTTTGGACAAGAATACCCTTTTTATGATATATATACATGTATGTATATATGCATTTGTATGATGCATGTCCATGTCTACTGTCTAGGAAGATACTTAACCCATAACAACAGGGACATATAAATATACACATATGAAAGTTGAAACCTAGATGGAGTAACATTTTCAATAAAAAGTAATTGTATTATTATTTTCTTTAATGTAAAAAGGTAGCCAAGGTCATTCTTGGGATTAAGAAAAAAGGGTTTTTGATGAAACTTGTATTAATAAACAGCTGATGTTTCATTCTTCTGACAAAGCAACCAGAGAGAGCATATAAAGGTTTTGCTGTATTCAGAGAGGAAGCAACTGGGATTTTTTAGAATTGATCTCATTGATCTTGATCATCAGTTACCATGATTTCCCTAATTGATGTGTATCATGTTGTTGCAGCCACTGTTCCTCTATATGTTGCCATGACATTAGCCTACATATCTGTGAAATGGTGGAAGTTATTTACACCAGATCAATGTGCAGGAATCAATAAGTTTGTGGCAAAATTCTCAATACCTCTGCTGTCTTTCAAGTTGATATCAGTTAACAATCCTTATAAGATGAATATGAAGCTCATTTTCTCGGATTTTCTTCAGAAACTACTTGCCCTTTTGTTGTTGGCAGCTATCTCAAAATTCAGGTCAAGAGGTGGATTGAATTGGATCATCACTGCCCTTTCTCTCTCAACTCTTCCTAATACTTTGGTCCTAGGAATTCCTCTCTTGAAGGCCATGTATGGAGATGGAGCCGCTGCTCTCCTCGCCCAGATCGTCGTCTTGCAGAGCTTAGTTTGGTACAACTTACTCTTGTTTCTTTTCGAGCTTAGTGCAGCACGGGCAGCCTCCATGACAGCTCCTCTAGAAACAGGTAAGCAATTAGCATTCTGAATTTCAAACTCCCAGAGGGTGAGCAGTGATTCAATGTAAGTCCTACACCATGAACTTTACTTACAGAAGATGAACAACGTGGCCCATATGTTTTTCTCTCTTACTCTCTTTTTAGATTCCTTGTGCAGAAAGTACTAATATAGTTTTCTATTAAACACTTGAGTATCATAATCTTTGTGTATCAAGCCTCTCCCACTACATGTCCTTTTGACAATTTTCTTTGTCTGTTTTCTGATTGAAGGGAGCTTGGAGGGAGGGGCTCAGGAACAGCAACCAAAAGATGAAAGTGAAGAAGCACAGACCAGAACAGCAAGAAAAGTGAAGACCAGGCTCATTCTCTGGACAGTTTGGAGGAAGCTCTTTACAAATCCTAACACTCATGCAACTTTAGCTGGTTTAGTCTGGGCTGGTGTACACTTCAAGTAAGTTAATCCTACATACTGTCATCCAAATTAGAAAAATGTGTATATCTTGATCTGTACTACTTTTTGTTCAAAACAGAAAATGCTCAGTATATTTAACAATAAGCTGTTGCAGGTGGGGATTAAAACTGCCCGGAATTGTTAATGACTCAATATCAATAATGGCGAATGGAGGACTTGGTATGGCAATGTTCAGCTTAGGTACGTTTATCCACCAGCATCTTCTTGAACGCAAGTTTCAAGAGAATGAATTTTATTTTCAATGAAAATTGTACATTTTATTAGTTATGTAACATTTATATATTAATAATAACACAATCAATAATATAACCTCCTAATAAGAACATACAAGTTAAAACTCGAACTCATATTCTCATAAACTACAAAGTATTAAAAGTATCAACCATATAATTAAATATTAATTGGTTCAAAAGAATTTATTAACTCGAATTCACACATTGGAAGAATAAAGAATGGTAGAAATACCAACCATCTAATTAAGAAACAGTTAGTTCGAAAAAATTAATTCTGGTTTGACATTCTTCTCCGCATTGTGCTCAACAGGACTGTTCATGGCATCTCAAAGCAGCATAATAGCATGTGGAAAACAAATGGCATTGGTCGCCATGGGAATGAAGTTCCTTGTGGGACCTATTATAATGGCAGCATCTTCGTTAGCCATTGGACTTCGAGGGAGACTCTTGAGAGTGGCAATAGTGCAGGTGCACATACAAAAAATTTAACTTTCCATATAAGAAAAATGAGGTAAAATGTGTTATATATCATGTTGATTTTAACATTGCAGGCAGCTCTTCCTCAAGGAATTGTTCCCTTTGTTTTCGCCAAAGAATATAATGTTCATCCAGAAATACTAAGTACAGGGTAATAAACAATTAATCCACCTCCATGTTCAATACTCATTGCTGTTGTGGTTCAACTGAGTTTTTAATTTATATGCTTCGAATTTGCAGCGTAATTTTTGGCATCCTGATTTCATTACCGATTGATTTGGCCTACTACTTCCTGTTAGCTCTATGATGTTCCAAAAGGATCAATGCAACAGAAGAGGAGATAATTGGTGATTTCTGCAATCTAACTTCATGTCTGAGAAAAGGGTCGAGAATATGTTATAGATAAAACCTATGTATGTCCTTATTCAATTTACTAAAAGATTTCATTTTGAAGGCATTTTTTTTTTTTTTTTGGCTTCTTATCTATTAACTTGTAAATTATATTCTGAGAAAGTTAACAGGCAATGGGGAACAATCTGTTTTAAGTATAAATTTTCTGCACTCATTTTAGATTGTGTATCTGTTTTTTTTTTTCTGTTTTTGTTGACTATGTTGATCACAAAAATTGGGCTGGTAGAGATTGAAAATTGAAGGGGGTGGAAATGCAAATGCGAAAAAGCAAGATGCCATATAAGTACACATCATGATTTTTCATCAAACAGGCGAGCAGGAGTTATATATAGTTATAATTATACATATAAGTAACATGAATATTTCTTTTTTATGAATGGCTAGCAACCCCACCTAAATTTCAATTTTAGATACTTACACCCTTGATTTTGACTACTTCGTTTTTAAGACAAAATCTTGAATGAGATTGAAAAATGGAAGCCAAAAATGAAAAAATAGAAATAAAATTTAAATAAAAAAGTAAAATGATGACGAAAAAAAAAAAAAAAAAAGAAAAGAAGAAAAGAAAAAGAAAATTGAAGAAAATGAGAGGAAAAGGAAAAGAACCAAGCCCAGATCATTCAACCAGCATACATTACCAGTCGGCCCGATCCCGAGAAAACCCAGAACAAGCCCAGCCTTCTTCGTCTTCCCTTATCGACAGTGAAGAGAGCGAGATGTTAGGTTTTGAAAAATGAATAGAAAACAGAGCAGGTGAACACAGGCAGCGAAGGATAGTGGAGAACCTGAGAAGGAGGAATCCGCAAATCCAGGTTCCGTGAAGCAAGAAAAAACAAAATAAAAAGAAGCGAGAGAAGAAAGCAGAAGAGACGCGGGGAGACTGGGAGGAGTGACTGGAAGATTGCTTCAGTGAGGATGGAGATTTAGTGAAAATAAGCAGCGTGAAGAAAGACTCGAGACAACATTTTTTGCATCTAAGCTCACACCAAGTTGCCATGCGAGGGATAATTAATTGACCAGTTTATAATCACTGGAATAGTTATGGCCTATGGTGGTGGTGCCATGGGTGCGCCAGCGATGGGCGCCTCCGCTATAAAGCAGGTAAAACTGGAGAAGGAGAGTGAGCTCAGAATCGAGGTTGCCAATGACGCAACGCTTCGTCTCCGCCTCCTTACTGGCACCGCCGAGATTTTTGGCTCCGAGTTGCCACCGGAAATATGGCTCACATTTCCGCCTCGCCTCAAATTCGCCGTGAGTGTCATCGATTCTTTTTGTACATTTCCAATATGTTAATGAATTGAGTTTGGTTACTCCTTTTTTCAATACAAGAGCTAATTTTTATGGAAGAAGGGATTTTCTTTTTGATGGCTGAAGAATAAAAGAGTGGACTTAGTTGCTTAGGGGTGCCAAGAACAATTGCTTCACATGCTAATTTTATTGCAACTGTGTAGTACTGAAAATGAATAGGAGTCAAGGCATTCTCCATTCATGGCAGGATATAGGCCCCGATTTTACATTATTATTTTATTCACTTGAAAGGTGACTTCTCTTACGAATGATAAGGATGAGTCCTAGATGAATAGATGATTGTATGCCTGGTGGCCATATTAAAATGGTATTGGAGCTTAGTGGGCCTGTTTCTTGCTAAGCAGGAGATGAGGTTTGTTACCAGAGAAGGTTGGGAAGACTGTTGGTGCTGACGTTATTCAGTCAATCGTAGTCTGGAAAACATTAATATCTGGGGAATAGCTAGATTTTGTTTTAGTAAACATAGATGCATAGAGGGCTAGGTTTTAGGTAGAGGGAAAAATTAAAGAAAATAAAAGGTAAATCCAATATACAATTGCAATGATTGATAACAATGACAATCATAGAGTTGTCAGAATTGCATTCACGGATTGTTAGGAGAGAAATCAAATAGTTTTATTCAGATGTAGTTTATCTGATAGTGATGATATACTCATGTATTTATAGTGTTTATATAGTTTAATGTTACCAGAGTTCAGAACAATAACAAAATAAGACTTTTAATTAAATAAGAACTAAAACCTTATCAAAATGTAAAAAATTTGCTAAATATGATAAATATAATAATGATGGTAGAATCTTATATTAGCAAATATTTGAGATGATTCCACGTCATTCTCCCCCTCTTTGAAAGAACACCAACAAGGAATCTTGGATGTGATCAACAAATAGATGTAAATCCATTGTAAGAGAGCACTCTTTACTTATCGATAGAGTGCTTGAATTTGGAAAATAAAGGTGATTTACCCATCAACTCCAAGATCTCACAAAATAGTTGCTAGTAGTGATAACATGAACATTACAAGAAATGGGTAGAAACCTCCATCAATAAAGGTGATTTACCCATCAACCCCGAGATCTCGCAGAATAGTTGCTAGTAGTGATAACATCAACATTGGAGCATTAGGAACTCGAATATCTACAAAAGCACTAATAAGAAAAACAGAGGCTCAAAGTTGCCTTGATTAGGAAACTAGGATCCTGTGTTGAAAACTCGATTGATATTCATGTGACTAGGTAAATCAAGTAATTGAATACTGGGTTCCAAACTTTCTCAAAATGGAATGAAGTGTCTATAGCTTAAGGGTGTAAACTGTTAACGAGGACAAGGTAACATTTTGGTTTAATACAAATCACAACATAATCACCTAATATCAAGTTCCTCATCCCTACACAAGACAACACAAATAAGTTTATAATTTGCACTACTAATTGTAATTTATTTACATTTTATCTCAGTTTGTAGATCATGAATTTATAGTGTAGTGGCTATGGTTGGCTTAGAAAGAGAAACATCATCGGAAATAAATATCAAACTAACAATTGCATATGGTGAGTATCCATGAAGAAAGGCAAAAAGTACATGCAATGAGTATCCATGAAGAAAGTGAAAGTGCATGTCTCCATAGTGGACATAAAATAGAACTGTTATAAGCAAACTCAACGCAAAAACTAAAGTCCAAATGTCATGTATTTGTTTGAGAAACAAAGTGACGGAGCTTTAAGAGAAAAGCAGGCATTAGGGAGAAGAAAAAACATGGAGAAGGGGGTCAAGGGAGCTGAAAAGGCTACAATCTTCCATTAACTATGATTGTAGGCTGAAAAACAACAAGAGGGATGAGGGTATGGTGGCTGAAATTAAATGATTGGGAAAATAAGATCTTGGAATGTTAGGGGGATCAATGATAGAAAGAAGAGGCAAATCATAAGGGGGTTTATGTCAAGATGGAAACCGGATATTATATGTCTACAAGAAACCAAAATGGAAGCATTGGGGGATAAAGAAATAAGGAGTTTGTGGAGGGTGAAAGAAATTGGCATGCATTGCCGGCAAAAGGAGTGGTGGGAATCGGAGAACCTTACTTATAGAGAGGTGGTGATGGGGAGACAAGTTTAACTTGTGTGTTTGAGAATTGTATTGATGGAGAAGTGTGGGTGTTCATGGGTGTCTATTGTAGGGGTACTTTTGAGGAAAAAAGGCATGTTTGATTTGGTTGACTTACCGTAAGTAGATGTGGACAAGCCAAAGAAATCAACTGTCTTGTTTGAGAATTGACTAGTTCTTGGTATCTCATGATTACCTCTTAAAGTTATCAGGTCTGTGTCAAAATGTTCTACAAAGGCCTATTTTTGACCAATTTCCTATAAGCTTAGTTGCAGATGGTATTCAGTGGGGGCCTAGTTCCATTTAGACTTGACAACAGGTGGTTGAAGATGAATAAGTTCCATATCATGGTTGAGCAGTGTTGGAAGAACACCAAGATATCCGAGAAGGCTAGTCTTGGAGTAGAAAAAGACTCTTGAAGTTGAAGACTAAAATCAAGAAGTGGGTGAAGGAGGAGGGAGGGAAAGAAGAGGTATGCATTTACAATCTAATGAGGGAGATTGAAACACTGTACAGGAAAGAGGGTGATGAGGGTTTTTCTCCGGATGACATCACTAAGAGAGGGTCTATCAGAGTGGAGGTGGCTAACAGGTTGCATATGGAGGAAATTCTTGGTGACAAAGAACTAGAGAGAAATGACTGAAGGATGGGGACAAAAATACATGGCACTTTCATTATCTAGCTAGCCACAAGAGAAGACGTAATCATGTTGAGGAAATGGTGGTCAACAATAATGCCATCAGAAGGAATGATAGCATGAGGGGAAAAAACACAAGAGTCCTTTTAGTTTTTGTATACGGGAGATAAGGGGACTAGACCTAAATTGGATGGACTCTAGTTTTAAAACTTTGGAAGCTTCTAGCTGAATCAACCTAGAGAGAGTTTTCTTGAAGATGAGATTTGGGATGGGCTCAAGGATTGCAATGGGGATAAAGTTCCATATCCTGATGGTTTCAACACGAGATTTTTGCTGGAATTTGGTTAGTGATTAGAGGATATTGTGGAAGATGTTTCAGGAGTCACGGGTCCAGCTCTTTGTCAAAACTTGAATTCCACTTTTTTTGTGCTTATTACTAAAGTTGATGGTGCAAAAGACATTAAGGAGTTTAAATCTATCAGTTTGGTTGGCTGCATTTATAAACTCATTTCTTAAGTCCTGGCCAGGAGGTTATCCAATATGCTAAGCGAGGTCATCAGGGAGAGCCAGCATGTTTTCGTGGAAGGCAGACAGATTTTGGATGCAGTCTTGTTAGCCAATGAAATGGTGAATGATCTTGTGGCTTGTAAGAAAGAAGGTATTATGTGCAAACTTGATATTGAGAAGGCTTATGATCATGTTAATTGGTACTTTGTGGACTACATATTGTGGGTAAATTGGGATTTGGGCAGAAGTGGATGAGATGAATGAGATCTAGGTGGTTAAGACAGGGCAATCCACTTTCTTCCTTTCAGTTTCTCATTGTGATGGCAGTGCTGAGTAGGCTAATTGAGAGGGCTTGTGAGTTAGATTCGTTGAAGGGGGTGATGGTGGGTGGTGGAGATCATGGGATAGAGGTCTCTCATCTTTTCTTTGCTGCTTAAATTGTGAAATCTGTTGACTTTAAGTGGCCAGCTAATACCTTTGGCAGTATCAATGTGGGTAAATAACTAATCAAAGAGAAAAAACCTTAAACAAAATAACAATATTAAACTAAAAAAATAGGAATATCAATTCTAATACAAAGAGAAAATATTAAAATAAATAGGAAAACTAAATGTTAGAAAGGATAAAATCCAAAAGTTACTAAAGTTGTAAATATAGATTCCTAAATAATATAGTAATTTTACATTTGGTATCTTCTCCCGAGTAGGTCGTTCTAAAACTTTCTGCCTTTGTTGATAGATAGGTTTTAATTCAATCCGGTTTAGGCAGTTTTATGTTCCTTATAAGCATTTCGAAGTTAAGTTTTCAGTTTGGTCACTTCTATTTCGTCCAAGCATAATACATGGGGGCTTACAATCATGATGGTGGCATTTTGTTGGTATACAATCAAGGATTGGGGCAACATTTTGTTGCTACTTGGATAACTCCAATATTATTCTGGGTGACTTGATTTTATTAGTCAATTAGTTTGATTCTGACATCTTTGGAGTATTCTTTTTTGTTCCTGAACAGAGTGTCTGCACCTACACAAGAGTACTAAGTAATTCATTCTTGTATGCATGTTGAATTGAAGAAATTCTGTTCCTTTATCAGGTTTTCACTTGGTACGGAGCCACAATCGAAATGGATGGCGCTGTTGAAACTGACTATACAGCAGACGAGGTTAGTTCTTAGTTTTCTAATACATAATGCAACAAAATTGGTTGATAACTGCTAAATGATAACTAGATACTGATTGTGCAAACCTGGATTTTAGACACCCATGGTCAGCTACGTAAATGTGCATGCTGTACTGGAAGGACGAAGGAACCGTGCTAAAGCATCATCTTCCAATGATTCTGATGCTTCTCAGGTATTTTATATCCTCTTACGGGTGCTATCTAATAATTGATTGTAAATAGTTTACGTTTTAAAGACGTCTATACATTAGTTTGATCTTCCTGATTTACAATGTGACTCCTGTATGTACTTCTACTAAAAGGGCCAAAAGCCTAAATCTGCCATGGAACTTCTTAAGAATATACATAATAAGTCCCTTAAGAAATTTATTGTCTAATCAAGCCTCTTTTTTTCTGTGCAATTAAACTCCTCCAATTACAAAAATCCATAACTGACATTAACATTGTTAATTTTATTTATGTGGTTGTTGATGTGGTTACGTGTGGTCATGTTGAACAAATTAGGCTTACTTTTCATACTTAAGAATTTGGAAAATAAAAACCATATATCATACCAAGAGTTCTTAGGTATCACACATAAGATTTTGAGTGAATGACACAATCAAGTATTAAGAAATTCTTGAGTATATTATAGAGTAATTCAATGATTATCTAAAAAAGATTATAAAGATATTTATAGTGCCAAGTAGTCCTTTCTGAGTAGAATTAATCTAGAATTTACCGAGGCTAACAAGACTCAAAATACTAGTCCTAACAAAGGTAGGAAACACTAATGCTGATATGATTAAAGACATTACATCTGATAGAGGTAGGAAATAATATCATGAGAAATAGTAGTGTTAGATCCCTTGTATGACGATAAATTGTCAACACTGAAGACCTTACTTTTGCTCATATCTTCCAGCAAGTCAAGAACATAGCATTTGAGCTAATTTTCTTAAGAGTTGTGTGAGGACCTATGTTCTTCAAGTGAAGTTTCTTGTAAACTTACTTTTGGAGACCTTCTAGGTTTAATGTGTAGTCTGGTGTAAGATTTACATGTTGACAAGGTATGGGAAACTTATACCTAATGGTAATCTTGCTAACTGCATGACTATCACAGACGTTCTCCAGGTCTTGTCTTCCTTGGATGCCATGGGCTTAAACTTTCTTTTATAAATCCCTTAGTTAGTGACTCAATAAGTCTATCATTTATCAAAAAATCAATTTGAAGTAGAAACCAGAGAATCAAAAGTTACTTTTGGTGTAGTGAGTAAGGAGGTCAAGAACCAATAGTATATTCAATAATTGTGATGGAGTGAATATTATCTAAGGGATAAGAATATATCTATAGCATATTCAAGAATATTATCCTAATAAATATAGGAAATACAAATACTAATAAGATAAGAAATACTATCCATAACAAAAATAAGCAAACAAAATATGAATGAACTAGTAAATATAAAAATAACGTAAATAATATAATTCTTAAGTAATAAAGTATTACTGTTCTATGTGCCATCATTTGGCACTGTCATGGCATACATTTGTTGTTTTGTTTTAAATTATTCTTAAACAATCTTAAATTATTAAATAAAATTTAAAAATTAAAAAAAAGAAAAACATTACTTTTCTATCATATTGTACTTCATTTTCTTTCTCACCTGCCAAATACAACTTCTCCATCTCAGCTGCCTATGTCTTTCAAGATTTTATATATGATAGCAAGAATTTTATAACACCAAAACGGAAATGCTGTTATAATGCCAGCAATGCACAGTTTAATTTTAATCCTTGAAATAACATTTCATTGGAAAATATTTTGCCACTCTTATGAAAATTGAAGGAGATCTTAAAGATTTTCATTAATTTCCACAATTCCACCAAAAAAATGACATAAGAACATTCTATATCTATCTACATATATATATATATATAATTAAGTAAAACTTGAAATTGACACATGTCAGTTCTTTATTTTTTTAAATAATTTTATATTTAATATGATAATATACATGTAATTATATATTTAAATTGGATAAATTTAAAAATTACAAATATATTAAAATATAGAAATGTCATAATAATTTGGTGTGAAAACATATATAGTAATTATATGTTTAAATTTTTTAAACAAAAAAATGGAATTGAATTATTAGTTGACTACAAATTATGCACTATATTTTTAAATATAAGAATAAAACTAATGTTATAATATTGCTATGTTGTTTATTTTTAATTCCCTACAAGGTCTGGAATTATGTACTATGTAAATTCTTGATGACCTATTTTTCTTCTTGCACCCTATTTGTCATGGAGATCTTTCACTAAAAATTAAGGTATGACAAATTCTTTTAC